GAGCGGCCTGATTTGCCCCTTGTTGAAAGCCCCCAGGAGCAAATGCAAAAGGGTCAGAGGTCATGGGTTCACCCAACCAGAGGTGAGCATTATTGCTGGGTCTGAGTTATGCTTTAATGGATGCTACTCACCCCCACCTTGGCCATTAAAATGTCCTGGGGTGCTTGTCTTGTGGGGGTTGGAGCGCCTTGAAAGGAGCCTCTGTTAAGATAGGTGCCAGCTTAGACTGAGGGTGCTTCAGCAGCTCAATAAGAGACTTGTTGGGTGGTATGGCTGCTCAGTCCACCCCTGAGTGCCTCACCGAGGCCAGTCCTTGTTTCCCGGCATAAATGGTCACCCACGCTACAGGCCGTTGGAGTGAAAGGTAGCTCTGAGGTCAGGGGGAGGTGCGAGGTGTTGTTCTGGGAGTCCTATGAGGGAAGTGGCATGGGGGGTGCGGTGGTCATAGTGCTGACTTTACTCTGAGGAGAGGGGTATCTATGCCCCTTCCCCCCCCCCCCCCCCTCACTGCAGGGTTTGCTGATTGCGCTGTGCTGGGATGCTATGGGAACCCCCACCTCCCTAAATACACGCTGCCTCATCCCATCTCATTCCATTTACTTGTTTTCCCGGGGGAGGAAATGGTAAGGAGGTTGCTGGGATCTCAGAGAAGATTGAGAGGCTGGAATTGCTGCCACCATTGAGCCGTGTGTGCGTGTGTTTGCACGTGTGTGTGCGAGCGTTCGCACTGCCACTTACAAGGGAATGGCTTCACCTGAACATCTCTGCAGACTTTCTGCCACTTCTCCATGCTGTATGGGAGGTAAACACTCTTTAAAAATGACTGTTGGATGAACATTTCCCCTCCACTTAGCTGTGATAAGGGCTAGGAGGGTCACTGGTTATCCCATTACATTGTGTTTGTGTCTGTGTATGGGGCTCTATGATTGACTAACTGTTGATCTGCTTCTCACACCTTGTTTCTGTGTAAAAGATTCAGCACCCTGTAGCATCCAGGTTTCAGTCTTTAAGATGGCTGGATGTGGCCACTTGCCTTTTCAGGCCTTGATTGGTTTCCGGCCGGAGCTGAGAAAGCAGGGGGTCACATTTGTTGCAGGTTTGAATCTTTGCGCAGTGATCTGAGAGGCGGTGCTTCCTGTGCTATTCTGAAAGGAAGTGATTTGTCTGGTCAAGATCGTAATCAGTTTGGGTTTCGCCAGGCCATGTTTTGCAGTAATCCCCGTTTACCACTGCCATCCCACTCTGCACTATCCCCTACAGAGCGCTGTTGCATATCTACACGCTGCCCTGCCAAGTGTTCCACATGTGCTCGGAAGTCTCCGGTCTGTCGTTTCCACGGCAACAAGACATGGCTGCGGCAGTCCTGACTGAGTTGAAGGGCTGTTGTCACAAAACAGGTTTTTCTGTACCCCTGAAGGAGAATCACTGTAAATGGGTTTTTTGGGACCGATTTCTTCCTATTTACATTACATTGCATCATAATTAACAGACGCTTTTGTCCAAAGTGACATTAGACATTAACACATTAGACATACGGCTGTCGAGGAGTCAATTAGGAAAAAATGTGGCTAGGCTGGCCTTCCAATGAATGCCCAGATAAAAGTGTAAGTAGTATCGGAGCAAGAGCTACACAACATCTTCGTAGCACAGCATAAACCTAAAGACAATTCGATAACAGGAAGTGCAACATTAAGAACAGTCGGAGACCAGATGCCCGGAAAGCTGGGCGATGGCTTCTCTGAGGCAGCACTTGTGGAGTTTGCAGCTCTGTTCAGCATAGTGATTGTTTGTGTGTGTGAAAGAAAAAATGCAGATGAGTGACCTCTAATGGCCTGCCTTATTCCACTCTTCCTTTTGCCACTTTGCGTGTTATTTTGATTGAAGACTGTCCACATAATGTCCCAGTAGCTGCAGTGTAATTCGATTTGTTCTTCTTTTCGGTTCTCGACATAGACCTGAAGAGTTGATCCTCACAGCGACTTTTGAAGCTCTCACTTGTGATTCCTCTAAATTACCCGCTGCTTTCAAAACTGCTTGCTGAAAGCTTACTTGAGAAGACGTGGGAGGTTCTTGATTCGTTTTCCCTTTTGTTCATGTTCATAAAAATGACTTGATTTAAATTTCGGGGTTTTTTTTCTCTTCGTGTCTTATGGAAAATAGTTTATGGTAACCTTGTGATGTGGTAAATTCTGGAATTGAGATCTTCTCACGATTAGGTGATGGAAATTAGGTGAGCGCTGCTCTCCATGTGGTTGTAATCTGTTTCATCTGTTGAATTCAATTATAGTACATAGGTGTGTAACCATTATAGTGTAAGGTGTTCAGCTGTAGTGATCACGGCTTCTGTAATGCTTACAGGGTGTGTGTTTTAAAATGGACCCTAGAAAGCGCAGGAGTACTTTATCTCAGGCAGTTCACCACTGCTTTTGAGGACACCGCTAGTATTTGCCTCATTGAAATGGGACCGTAGATCCTACTGATTGGTCGCTAGCTAACTGAAGGACCGACCTCACTTGGCTTTTTTTCGGTGATCTGAGTTCCAAGATGGCCAGCTGCATTCGACACCCGGGCATCCCTCTGTGTTCTGGGAAGAGGGAGATCCGGCCTTTTCCGCTGTTCCCGAGTCCTGGGTGTCTGTCACGCTGGACTGTGGCCATGCGGTCCACAAGAATGTTGTGGGTGGACGTGTGGTTTCACTGGAGCTCCACCCAAAATGTCCACTCTAAGAAATGTTTAAATGTTAGTTTTTTTTCCCTCACTGTTAACTTGTCATGTGATTCTTCATGTGGGATTACCACAAGCAGGCATCTACTACTTTTTGCTTGTTACAATAATATTAATGAACACCATTTATCCTACTTGGTCACTTGTGTCATGGTGGTTTAGTACCAATATCTAAGTGAGCAGACCTCTGTGCTGAGATCTACCCCCACCCTCCCTTACTCGGATTGTAGCCTAATATTCTGTAAGATCAAAGAGGACTGGTGTGATTCCTGTGTTTTCCCACAGAAAGCAGTAGTTCGGATTTAAGCTGCCTTCCATTGAGACTGTTTTTGTTTGAACTTGGTGCCGTTTCTCGCTGCACGTGCCCTTGGATCCTTGGTATGAGTTTTATGGCAGCGATCAGCCTTTGTGAGTTGGGTAGCGATTGCAGTTGTAACATAAAACAGAGCATTCTATGGTGAACCCTAAAGGGGTGTAGCTTTAACTGACTCATTAGTAAAAGGAGGTTTGGGTGGAGGTTTGCTCTGAGGAGACTTCACTGTCGAATGGCGCTGCTTTCTCAGCTGTCATGTTCATAGTGAGACGGGCCCGGCGTCAGCCATGTCTGGTGATCCCAGCATCCCTGCCAAGTTGTAATGCTTGCGGTCAGAGGCTCAATGCCCTGCTTTGCATCCTCATTTCCATCAAAAGCACCTCCCTTCCCAGCATTGCTACACAAATGTCATGTTGGTGTAATTTTGTCCCGCACAGCAAAGGACTTGGTACAGTCACATGTTTCCTATCCAACCGCGAACTGGAATTCCCTGCTTTGTCCAGTTGTCCACCTTTGTGCTGTATGTCTCTCATTGGCCTGGTGATTTCCCAATATAAACTCACAACTGAAGATCTTTCAGTCATCAGCTGCTTGCACTAAATAATCATCCAAATGGTTTTTCTGAGTTGTTCCATGCGCTGGGTTATTCCACGAGCTTGGAACCTTTGCTGTCGAACAGTGTCTGAGCTTGACTGTTCGCTAGCACATCAAAAATTTGACTCGTGCCTAAACTCGAGGTGAAACGCTAGGGTTTGACTGGTTTAGGTTGCTTTGCCTTAGGGTTGTGCTGTTAATTTTCAAACACTCCCTTGACTAAACAGTTGACTAAGGAGCTCGGAATGCGCACTAGGCCAGCCTGCCCTGAGCCTCTGGCTAATCTCCATGCTCCCTCTCCTACTTCCTGCCGGTTACTGGAGGAGCGTTCCATGTTCTGCTCTCCTGGCTGTTGGTGCAGCTTATCAATCCCCTCCCCAAGACTGTCACTGTTGGTTTTGGTCGTGTGCAGATAGTGCGGGTTCTAGTGTCATACTCCTTACACTGTCATGTGATTTCTTTGAAGAACATTCTAGACTTCACAGGTTTTCTGTTATATTAGTTCACAGGGTGAATTATCACTTAATTTTTATTTAGTGGATGCTTTTATCCAAAGTGATGCTGGGATTTGAACTGGTGGCCTTCTGCTCATGAGTGCAGCACCCAAACCAGCTGAACCCTGCACTGTACTTGTACTTGTGATGTTCTGTATACTTCTGAATACTAGGGCGACCCAGATCATGTTCAGATGATTAGTTCAGTATTTGTTTGTGTGACCATAGGAGAATCTTAACTGTGTTCTCTCCGTGTTGTTGTGGGGTGTCCTCCGGTTTGCCCCCATAGTCCAAACTCACGCTGAGGTTAATTGGAGATGGCAAATTATCCGGAGGTGTGCGTGAATGGTATGCAAGTGTGCCCTGCGATGGGTTGGCGCCCCATCCTGGGTATGCAAGTGTGCCCTGCGATGGGTTGGCGCCCCATCCTGGGTATGCGAGTGTGCCCTGCGATGGGTTGGCGCCCCATCCTGGGTATGCGAGTGTGCCCTGCGATGGGTTGGCGCCCCATCCTGGGTNCCATCCTGGGTATGCGAGTGTGCCCTGCGATGGGTTGGCGCCCCATCCTGGGTATGCGAGTGTGCCCTGCGATGGGTTGGCGCCCCATCCTGGGTTTGTTCCCCGCCTTGCGCCTGTAGCTTCCGGAATAGGATGAGTGGATGGATTGTTCAGTTTTTTTTTTTTTTCTTCTATCCATGTATCCTTGCCATAAATATAGCCCTAGCTGCTAGCATGCCATTAAAAGTCAGCAGAGCTGTCTATCCATAAGTGACAGATTCACCAATTTGTCATTGCTGGCTGTTTTGGTGCGTTTGTTCAAATTGCAAGTGTGGATGCAAACAAACGTGTCCCCCTCTCCTTATGTTCTCCTCTAGTGCCAGACGACCTGACCCCTGAGGAGCAGCAGGAGCTGGAGAACATCCGGAGGCGCAAGCTGGAGCTCCTGGAGGACATTCGGGTATCCATGGGGGGGGGGGTATCCGTTTCATCTCAAGAATTCAATGACCGTCTAGCTGCTTGGCCCCCACCCACCCCAAAAATTTCTCTCACAATTGAGTGCCCCTTCCTGTTTATTCAAGGACCCAGATATTTTAACTGAGAGCTTCTCGGGCTGAGAACTGCTTAGTCCAGCCACATCTCTAGCGCTGTGTCATGCAGTATACGATCCCCCATCCTGCGCCTCTTTCGGTTTGATTCCAGCTGCTCTCGGAATGCAGAAACGAAATTCCACAAACCCACAGGATGTCTGAAATACCCGCCCTACAATGGCTACTGACGCCCTGTCTTTACCTGACCTTCACTCCTCCTCATGGGTCTTCAGGATGGCCAGTTCTGTTTGTTGTCATGATGCTCTTCTTGCTTTGGGGTTTGGGGTGTCCCCCGAACCATGGGTTTCCTGCCATGACAGGAAGTCGGTGCCCACAGCCCTAAATATGGGCAGATCAGTCTCTGCTGCTCTCTGAAGATGTTTCCCAGTGTCATTCTCATGATTAGATTTAGAAACAAACAGTTTGAAGGAAAAGGGCCATTTCGGCTCAGTGTTTCCCATGTTATTAGATCTGTGCTGCTGCTGTCAGCCTCTGTTATGGCTGGACACTTCACAGGAACAAGGATATCGGATCACTGCAAGACGGAGGGTGGGCCAGAGGAGGTAGGGTGAAGGTCAAGGGGTCGACTGTTAGTCCACTATGGTTAAGAGTAATTCACAGTGCTGCCCCCTAATGTACAGAGGAGGTGCATCCAACATGTACAGCTTGTTTATCAACATCAGCCTGGCAGAACGGCCCCATGCGCTGAAGCTGAACCCCTGATATCCACAGGAAGGCATACAGCTGCCTGTGTGCCCCCATGCTGGCTGTTTCCTGTTCAGTTTCACACAGCTGTGTGTGATTACAAGCCATTCAGAGCTGAAGATGCCTGCTTTGGCGGAGGGGGGGACTCTTATCTTCATTAGACTGTTCGTCTGCACAGACCCTGGCGAGGTTTGACACTGGTACTACTCTGACCTCCCCAAGACTCTGAGTTTGTAAAGCTGCATTTCATTGTATACGCCGTTTACATGTGACTAGACCAGTGTTTTTCAATTCGGCCCTCTGGGACCAACTGAGTCTGCAAGGACCGGATTGGGGAACACTGGACGAGACTCTTGACTTTGCTGCCCCCTACTGTACGTGTGGCTTTAGTGCAGGTCTGTCAGTGGAGGGTCGGGGGGGGGGGTGAGAGGCTGGGGGTGCGTGTGGCGTGCGAGGCTGCTGTCGCACGCCCACGCGTGGCCGCCTGGGTGGCCCGGCAGCCCCCTTTGTCCTCCCTCCTTCTGTACACCCACATGGCGTTCTGCTCTCCTCCCATTGGCTCCTTCATCTCCGTCTCTCCATCTCTCCCCAGCGCCTCAAAGATGAGATAGCCGAGGTGACCAATGAGATTGAGAACCTGGGCTCCACTGAAGAGAGGTGAGCCAGTCTGACGCGTGGATTTCTGTGCCTTTTACCTGGTTTTTGACAAACACCCATATAACATAATTGGTTGTTTTGGAGATCGGCAATTTACTTGAAACTTTAATGGGTTGAATGAGTTTGCTTTAAAGGGCATACTCTGGAGTTGGCTGGTCTGTGGTCTTCTTTAAGGGTTTTGTAATCCTCTCCTGTTTCGGCTATGGAAAGCAGTGGGTGGGCCTAGTGGTGTGGGCTCGGCTAAAGTAATGGGTGGCGCCTCTTCAGTCACACATACTCTGTTTTAATCTGACTGGACAGTGTGGCTGTGCCTGTAGCCTTGGTTCCTGGCTGTTCTTTTGCAAATCGGAGAACCATTCATGAAAAATGAGGCAAACAGTTCAGTGGGTCCTTTAAGAGGCTGACGCACACGATTCTCCATTCATAGCTGTGACACGAGTCTCCACCCAAGCAGCAGTCCCACCTAACTGGTAGCTGTGACCCCATCAGTCTCCTCCGTAAAATGACCTCCAATGCGCTTCTGTATAGTTGAAGGGGAGGAAGTGGAGAGGGCCATCTTCTGCCCTGCTGGGGTGGGGGGGTGACATCGCTGTGAAGCCCCACCCTTTCCTTAGTCGGGGGCGGCTGAAGTGAAGCGTAGCCCTCTGTGACTCCATTACATCATGGAATCCGCTCATGCCGGCCCCAGGGACGACGATGCCCCGCAGGTCGTTAAGAGTTATTCACCAGCCTGAAAGTCCGGGAAAGGCCTTTTGGTAAATGGGCGCCTTCGCGTGTCTGTTTATGGCTGGGATTTCAGCTGAGCCACGTGAGCGGTTCATCGGTTCCCTGCGGGCCCCCGTAAAATGTACCTAATGCCCTCAACCATAGCAACCCCCCACTTACGAGAATGAGCCTGGTAAATTTAATTATTATGAAAATGTTTGACGTGAGTAATGGAAAAGCTGACCCGTGTTCATGATGGAGGCATTTTCAGTGGGAAGTTCTGTTTTTTTTTTTTTTTTTTTTTTTCTCCCCCCCTTTATTGCGATCTTGTTTTTCTGCTCCAGGAAAAACATGCAGAGGAATAAACAGGTGGCCATGGGGCGAAAGAAATTCAACATGGATCCCAAGAAGGTAAAATGAGTGTGCAGTCGGTGCATCTGGGCTGGAAGGCACATGATTGGCTTCCAAGATCTTGCATACTGATTGGTCAATGTGCCGAGCCAGATGGGGAGTTATGGGGGATGTTTGTATTTCATGCAGACTGAGTCTGTTGTTGTTTGTTGTTCACCCAGGGGATTCAGTTCCTGATCGAGAACGACCTGTTGAAGAACACCTGTGAGGACATCGCTCAGTTCCTATACAAGGGGGAAGGGCTAAACAAGACGGCCATCGGAGACTACCTGGGGGAGAGGTGAGCACCAGCACTTGTCTGTTTGCATTCTCATCACCAGTATGTTAGCTGTTCTGGTGTCCCCGACCAGAGCCCTGACTGCGCTGCTGCAGAAGCGCCCCAGTCTAAGCAGAATTGGTGGTGCAGTCAGGTTTGTGACACCCTCTGGCAGCGCCTGGTATGTCTGTAGAACAGGGGGTCCTGCAGCAGAGTCTGCTTGGTCAGGCTGGAAGGGGGGGTGGGTAGAGATGCACTGGGGTGGGGGAGTGAGGCCTGTTCTTAATGGTCCCCCCAGATTGCTGGATAGGTTACAGGCCAGGACTGGCCGCAAAGCCCATCCGGAGTGCTGAGAGCCTCCCTGGGGAGTTTTGTCCTCCTGTGTGGCATATCTCTTGCTCACAGTGCAACAGGGGTCAGGGCTGATGTAATGTGTGAAGATCAGCACCCAACCCCAGCAGCTTCTAATGATGCTCATGACCTGATACCCGTTGCAGAGATGACTTCAACATCCAGGTCCTCCACGCCTTCGTTGAGCTACATGAGTTCACTGATCTGAACCTGGTCCAGGCCCTCAGGTAAGGCGACGCCCAAATGCCATCCGCGTGACCCCCAGGAAGGCAGCATGGGTCTCATGTGCTCGTTCATTTCTGCAGTGATGTCACTGATCCTGCTTCTCATTGGCTCATGCTACATCTGCACCCACAGGCAGTTCTTATGGAGCTTCCGACTTCCAGGAGAGGCTCAAAAAATCGACCGCATGATGGAAGCCTTTGCTCAGCGGTACTGCCAGTGCAACCCTGGCGTCTTCCAGTCTACAGGTGTGTGTGTGTGTGTGTGTGTGTGTGTGTGTGTGTGTGTGTGTGTGTGTGTGTGTGTGTGTGTGTGTGTGTGTGTGTGTGTGTGTGTGTGTGTGTGTGTGTGTGTGTGTGTGTGTGTGTGTGTGTGTGTGAAACAGAAACTGAGAGGGTCCCTGACACAGAACCACAGTCTCACTCTTCGCCTCTCAGTATCGATCCAGGGTGTTTGATTTCACCAAGTTACGCCTCGACACGCCTGCCGTCTCGGTACACGAGAAGGTGTGGTGTCCTCGTGCTGCCTTTGTGCTCGTATAACCAGGCACAGAATTTGACGGAGGCGGGAATGACTGTCTGCTGAGCCCGACCGGTCAGGCAGATCGGACCCACATCAACGCAGTGACGCAGCAGTGACACGCCCTTGCTAGCATTTTCTGCCTTTGCAGTGTGTAATCAAAAAGCACATCCTGAAACACAAACCCATGTACGCTTGTCATCCTAACATGCAGTGGTGCAGAGTCCTCGTCTCAGAGGATCACTTTCATGGCCGGTGTATAGTGCCCATTTATATTTAAGCGGTCCATTAGGTTCTCCTACCGCTGAGTGGATCCTCTTAGTTGGTCGGCTGATTTGGTTCATTTTTTTTTTTTTGGTGGTGATGGATGTTTGGTCATGTGACTGTGTGGCCCACAGACACCTGCTACATCCTGTCATTCGCCATCATCATGCTGAACACTAGCCTGCACAACCCCAACGTGAAGGACAAGCCCACAGTGGAGCGATTCATCAGTATGAACCGGGGGATCAACGCCGGAGGCGACCTGCCGGAGGAGCTGCTCAGGGTCGGTTTGTCACCAGGGCGGCGGCTTCTCCTGGCTCCACGTGTCTATTGGCCCCTCTGTTTGTCCCACGTTGATTTATGTGTTGGCCCGTGTCTCTTCCCGCAGAACCTTTATGACAGCATCAAGAATGAGCCCTTCAAGATCCCAGAGGATGACGGCAATGACCTCACGCACACTTTCTTCAACCCTGATCGGGAAGGCTGGCTGCTCAAGCTGGGTGAGTTTGGCTGGGGGACAGACCTGGTCCTACACAGGACCTTCTAAGTGCAAGACCTTCAGGACTGTAGTAGCGCTGCTCATAGATGTGGGCCAGACACACACACACGCACACACACACGCACACGCACACACACACAAAGATCCCTTATCACCACCTGTAAGTGTAGCTCCTATGTACACAGTGGATTATGGATGTGTCTTTGATCACACAAGCACTCAGAGGCTCCTTAATTTTAAATCGCCCACATCCAGAGACACCCTTCAGATACTTTTGATGCTTCCCCCCC